ATTTAAATATCATGAGAGTCGATCCAATATTTTTTCAACATCAGAATTTTGTTTTAATTATGTCAAAAAACAGTGTGTCGAATAACAATTTTTTTACACTACTAGACTTTTTTTTTAATATCACGAGAGTCGATTCCAATATTTTGTCAATATCAGAATTTTGTGAAATACATTTTACGTTGCATTTTGACAAATATTAACAACCGAAGATTTTTTCACACAAAAAGCATCGTGACAAATATGTAACCATCTTTATGGTATTCTTACCTATTGCAACATCTGATTTCTTCCGAGTTTACAGAGTGCCTCAGAAACAAAGTTATATTTTTCAAATAAAATTATTGTATGTATGTACTATATTTCAGTAACATACAGGATAAACAACAATGATTGTAGAAGTTGGCACTTTTTTCTTTAAATGTTTGCAACAGTGCTAATATTTGATAGGAATATGGTGGTTAGACTTTTTTGAATCACTGTGTATATAATTTGTTATAAAAATATTATTGTAGTAATTTTTAATATACAAATTCATGTTGCAAATATAATATTTTTCGATAGAGATTAAATAAATGACTAATATACAGAGTGTAACGAAAAGTTGAGACCAAAGAGATTTTCCAGGTCAAAATAAAACTTATTAGAAGTTAGAGGGCACCAAATTTCGTTTTTCCAATAACTTTTAAGTGGAGTAATCGACATTTCTGTATTTTGGTACAGACAATTTGCTTATCAAAATCACATATTTTGGTCCTATTTTTTTGTTTAATTATTATTTTTTTATAGTAATGCGTAATCCGAGTGGCGTATTTTTTTTATTCAAAAGGTACATTATTTTTGAAAATTTTTTGTATCTTATAAAATGTTTGTCTCGGCCATGGTTTTAAGGTAAAAAATATAATTTAAGTAAAAGTGTAAAAATCTCAGACGTTGCCTATTAATTTATTGTTTTTAAAATTGTAATAAATAAAAACAAAAAAAAGGTAATTTTTCCCGCGCTTTCTATAACTTTTAAACTGTGCAACTTAGTATTTTTGTTACACCCTGTATATTTAAAAATCAATCTACTTTTAAATGTTAAAATGTTCAAAAATTTCTGCCTCTTGCAACATTTGAATTTTTTTCAAGATTACATCAGTGTCTCACAAACAACACATTTTTTTTAATTATATGGTATTATTTCAATAAAATACAGGGTGAACAATAATGACAGTTAAAGTTGGCACTTTCTTTTGTAATACTGTAGATATTTGACAAGACTATAGATTAAAAGTGGTGTTCGACTTTTTTGAATCATTGTGTATATAATTCGGTTTAAAAAAATATTGTTATATTTTTTATTATACAAATTAATGTTGGAAATAATTTAATACAGATTAAATAAATGACTAATATACAGGATGTAACAAAAAGTTGCAGACAATGAGATTTTCCAGATCAAAATAAAACGATTTAACCCAACTTAGAAGTTGAAGAGCACCCAATTTTGTTTTTCTAATAACTTTTAAGAGGAGTAATCGACTTTTTTGAATTTTGGTGCAGACAATTTGCTTTAAAAATCAGATGTTTTAGTGCTATTTTTTTGTTTAATTATTACTATTGTATAGTAACGCGTAATCCGAGTGCGTATTTTTTAATTCAAAAGGTACATTACTTTTGAACAACTTTTTATCTTATAAAATTTTTGTCTCGGTCATGGGTTTAGAGTAAAAATATAATTTAAGTAAAAGTGTAAAAATCTCAGACGTTGCTGATTAATTTATTATTGTTTTTACAATTGTAATTAATTGAAACAAAAAAGTAGTTTTTTTGGCGCCTTGTACAACTTTTAAATGGTGCAACTTCGTACAGAGTAAGTTGGGTTAAATCGCTTTATTAATTCTCAGGTTACATCCCATCTTTTCGTTACACCCTGTATATTTAAAAATGAATACACTTTTAAATGTTAAAATGTTAAAAAGAAATTTCAAGTTTACATCAGAGTGTCTCAAAAACAATACAAAATTATGTTTTTCAAAAGAAACTATTGTATTATTTTCATAAAATACAGGGTTAGCACTTTCTTTTGCAACACTGCAGATTTTTTAGAAAATTATAGATTAAAATCGGTGGTCTTTTTTTTTGAATCACTGTGTATAAATCGTAATAAAATTTTATTTTGTTGTAATATTTTTTATAGGCCAATGATGGAAAGATCACATTTTTCGATAAAGATACGTTTTACAAGATGACCCATAAACATTAATATTCAAAAGTAATACAAAAAGTGTTACAGTTTAAATGTTTGCGCAGTAATTAAAACAAAAAGTTCACTTGCACATCAAGATCCGAGGTTATTATTCTTGATGTAGGTCGCACAACAATGTGATTTTAAAATTAACAGAATTTTTCAGGAATTTTTTGTTAGAAACTAAAAAATTCGTGAAACTGAAAAAAAGGCTCAAGACTTGAAATAATGAAGAAAAAAAGTGTCAAGCAGCATCCATTCGCCAGCAATGTCCAGTAATTCGATTCCAATTACAGAAGTCTGTATTTTTTGTAATGTTGTTCTAAGAATAATTTAACCCTGTCGCGTGCAGTTCAAGGCATGTAAATTTGCAGCACGCCAACGAATTCCTACCCGCATCAAAAGCTACTTTGGTCTGAAAGAGAGCATTGACCGTCTAAAAACAACTGAATAATGTCATTTACGCCACTGAATCAGCGATTTATTTTTAGATAAGAAATTGCTCTCGTCTGCTAACTAAAACCAGGGTTGCATTATGCATTCGGATATGCAATCTTTGAATTTGCATCAAACTTTCCTGCCTAGTTAGTAGGCAACGCCACGACTCTTGAAACCACTATCAAAGCTAGATCTTGCTCAAAATTATTCATTTTTACTAAAAAAAAAAGTCGCAAAATAATCGATTGGCAAAGGCACATTCAATAGTAGATTACATTTACCGAAGTTTGCATACTATTTTATTCATCACATTTGGATCCAACTTTTGGATAATTTTTGTCTTTTTTCTTCATTTCTTCTTAAAGAATTCTTTCTTGTATTTTCTTTTTGTTTTTAGCGACTGGCAATGATTTCTTTCTTTACTTTTAGTTATTAACTAACTTCCGAATTTATTTTTATTTAAATTTTATATTGTTTATAATAATTATTTTTATTTTTAATTTCTATTAATATTCTTTCGAGGTTAAGTTGAATAGCTTCAAGCTAGACTTTGCCTCCGCATCTTTGTATTACTTTTAATTTATTAATAAAGACCTATATTATTTTTTTAAGTAATAAAATATCTGCTTTTTTGCCAAAGTTGATGCATTGACGTAGTTGCTATGCAAATCAAGTTTTTGACATTTGACTACGGGATGTAATGAAACATTTCCCGACCTCCAAAAGGCTAGTACATATTACTATAATGATTGTGAATAAACAAACTGAACAAAACACAAATTCAGTTATCAAAGAAATAATTGATAACAAATTGACTTTTATTTTTTCTACTCTTTTGCATACACTGGCGGACACGAAATTTTGGACGATTGTCATTCGTTAATTTTTCATGTGTTAATTATACAGTGTTTCATTTTTATTGTTAGGTCCACATTTAAATAGTTCATAGAATATTTAATTTTAAGACAAAAGTGTTTCGAGAAATGCTATGAAAGGGAGCTACACCCCCTAAAAAAGGTACGTTTTTTAAAGCGTTTTTCTTAATATTTCAGAGTAGATAAAATTACAAAATTTGGTACCTTTATTTGTACACCTAAACAAATGCCAAATAACAAAATTTTTGATCAGGGGCGTCCTCAACGGTAAAACAAATTTAATTTTTAATTTTTATGCTGTTTATGGTCTGTAACATAAATTTTTAAACCGATTTTTACTAAAAATCCGTAAATTGTATCGGAAAAACACAAAAGACCTTTTTTTATGAAAAACTATGAAATTTTGTTGCTGAAAGTGGCAAGAAACCACANTGTATCGGAAAAACACAAAAGACCTTTTTTTATGAAAAACTATGAAATTTTGTTGCTGAAAGTGGCAAGAAACCACAGGCAAAATAGTTAATGTAAATTTTTACCCTTATCCCAACTAGTTTAGGAAGCCCCTAATTAAAAATTTCAACATTTTATTTTTAACTTGTGTAGGTGTATAAAAGATATCATCTGTACCAAATTTTAAAATTTTTTTCTAAAATGATTTCGGAAATGGAAAAAACCTATTAAAACGCACCCCTTGCGTAGCATTTTTCGATATATGCTCATAAAAAATTTTTGTTTTAAAAAAGAATATTCTGTCTTCTGTTTAGATTTGTAACAATAAAAAGTATTAAAAAATTATTTTATTTTTTGTTACTTTTGTGAGTTAATTTGTATTTTTTTATGTTTAATTAGTATCTCTTATTTCAATTTAAAATAAAAACGTGTACTTAGAGATTTTTGCTTTTGAATCCGCCTTCTTTCATTTCATTTTCATGGACCAACAAATAAAAAATCCTGGTTACGGCCCTGCATTCGACTGACATAAAAATGTAAAATGGGCCTTAGGTAACTAACCTCACTTTCGGTTTTTGTAATTTTTATCCTGAAGCTAGAGAAAAAATGGCAAATCAAAATAATTTATTGAACTTATATAAAAAGACGTATTGCTGGCATTATTGTTTCGGAAAATCGACGCCAAAAATAAATTTCAACTAATTGAACTTTCAAATTTTAGTTTCAAACGTCAATCATAATGACAATAAAGCGTGGCTTACATTGACATTTTTTGAATTGATATAAATTTGATGTTCAAAATTCCGTGTCCGCCAGTGTATGTTAACTAAATGTCAAAAAAGCATTTTATTTAAACAATTAAACACACTAAAGACAATAATAAAAAGCATGTTTATTTGAGGTTGAGTTTTTAATGTGTGGCGCCACCGCTATCTGAGTAGCTTAACCAACTGAATCGATAAAACAGAAAACAACTTATCACAACTAACCTCATTCTCATTCTTACATAACCTCAACTGTCAACAATTAACTGTCATTATTGACATAATTATAGAAAAAATATGGTGTTACGTTTACGATAATTTTTTTCTTCTTCTACTAATAATTTGGTAAATTTAGAAATGTATAAAGGCCACGAACCCGATTCGCCTGCAGAGCTCGAAAGCCAGTTTATTTTGCGTTTACCGGAGGAGCCAGCCCGAGTTCTTCGTGAAGCAATAAGAAACAACAGCACTCTCAAAGACCGCGTAGCAATTAAAATAGAGAATGACATGCGACATGGCGAAGTCCGAGTGGACCATTGGCTTCTCCCAGCCAAAGTTATGGACCTTCCCACCATCATCGAGTCTCTTAAAACGATTGATTCGAAAGGTTTCTACAAAACGGCCGATATATGTCAAATGCTGATATGTAAGGAAGAAGATGACCAAACCACCACCGATGAAGAGTCCCCCCAAAAATCAAAACGCAAAGACCCCAACAAAGTGGAGAAAAAATACTTGATACCACACGGGATCACGCCTCCGACTAAAAATGTAAGAAAGCGAAGATTCCGGAAAACTTTGAAGAAGAAATACGTGGAAGCCCCTGAAATAGAGAAAGAAGTTAAAAGGTTGTTGCGGATTGACAACGACGCTGTTAGTGTTAAATGGGAAGTTATCAATGAAGATGATGAGAATAAAGTCAATAAAGGCACTGTTGTGAAGAAAGAGCCTGCGGAAGCCCCCAATCAAAACGTCGCCGAACATGACATCTTCGGAGGGGCTGTGAGCGACTCAGAAGAAGAAGACCCCCATCTCAATGTCTTGGAATTGGATGACAACAGCCAGAATTCCGACAGCCACCTCACCGACTCCAATTCCATGATGATCAACACTGCAAACTCTAAATTACTGACCGAATTCACGAGCGATATGTTCAATGAAATGCAAAATTCCCCGTCTTTGATGCAAGAAATGGATTATTATCAACAATCATCCAGCAATATTTCCTACACTGAACAGAATTTGACTAAGAGTAATATTCTAGCAAGATTAGAAGAGTTGCAATTGGAGTTGGACAATTTGAAAATGAGGAGGCAACACCAGGAAATGGAAATTGAAAACATCGAGAATTTGGCGTTAAGACAACGCTTTCAGAATATTCTAGACAGGTTGCTCCAGGAACAAATTGAAAAGGAACAGGAGAAATACAGTCTGGAGGAGCTCCTAAAGCAGCATCAAGAGTAGTTTTAGAGAAAAAATGGGCTGTAGCTCGAGTTGTATTGTATTGTAATTTTTAAATGTACTTTTTACTTATTTTTTTTTATGAAAATAAAGAGCTTTTTACCAGCAAAAAGTGTACTTTTGATGTAGATGATAAAATGTGTGTGGGGGGTTACGCGGCTATGCCGCGAACCCCCACAGCAAGCTTTGTGGAAATAAAAATGCAAATTACGTTTTAATTGCACAATATTAGGTTGTTAGGAATTATAGTATACATATACACACTTGTTAATAAAAAACTAAGATTTGAATTCTTTAAATTAAATGTAAAAAGTGGTACACTTTATTATTACCTACATGCAAATTAAAGCATTATTAGTATAGATTTAGTTTTCCACTAAAAAAACCATTCAAATGATCACAGGGACAATTTTTGATTTAAAATTGAAGAAAAAGGAAAAAATTAATGCAAATTATATACAGGGTCGCTAAAAAGTAAATATATAAAAGCTAAATATTTTCAGAACGTTGTAACAGAACACATCTTTTTTAAATTTTTATCATTTATTTTTAAAATACAAGGCTAACTTGATTTTTTTAATGGCACTAAGGATCAAATATAATTATTTTTAAGAGCATTTTTTCTGAATTCAGTGATGCAACATATGCCCACCTTTATTTTAATAAAATGTAAAAAAATAAAAACTTAAAAATGTAATTCTGGAATAGTAAAACTAAGTTAGCTTTGAAAATGCTATTATTAGTGATCTGTCACTTGCATATTAGTCAAAAATTAAACTTGTGTGCAATAATTAGTTTAACAATAGTACATTTAAATGAAACTTGGCTTATAGAAATTCTCAAATCAATGGAAATCATTTTGAACATCGTTTGTAGTATAAAAACTATGTAATTCGTGTTTAAGCTTTTTTTAATTAAAATCTACTTTTTCAGTCAAAATAAATGTTATTTTAGCAATTATTATTAACTTTTACTTATTTCTTGGTCACAGTTCAGGCGGCAAAAAGCTAACGATAGATAAAGACAACATTTCCAAGGCTAACAAAATTTTACATTTTTAAAAATTGTATTAGTCCGATATTTTTTTATGTTTCGAGTAAAATAAGGTATGAAACTCAGAAAAAAATACTTTTTTAAAAAATATTAAATTGGACCCTCCTTACCATTAAAAAAAATCAAGTTTTGTATCTCCAGAGCAAATAGAGATAGAAATTTGATAAACATTTGAGACGATAGAATTTACATACTTTTAAGTATATACCAAATTTCAATAAGTTTTGATAAACATTTTTTATAGTATTTCACTGTATCCATACTTTTTAGCGATTTTATTTTATTTTATGTAAATCAGTGTTTTCATGATTTTTAAATGTTCTTTTTACTTAATAAAATGCTTTTTACCAGCAAAAAGTGTACTTGTTTTAAATTAAGTATACAAAACAACATTTTGATGTAGATAACATGTGAGTGTGGGTTTTACGCGGCTATGCCGCGGGCGCCCCCCTCCATAATTTCTAGAAAACAGCTTTCAGGTTGCTGCTTTGTTGAAATAAAAATGCAAATAGTGTTTAAATTACGTTTTAATTGCACAATATTAGGTTGTTCAAGGAATTATATGTACACATGTTAATAATGAAAAACTAAGATTTGAATTCTATAAATTAAATATAAAAAGTGGTGCACTTTATTATTACCTACACGCAAATTAAAGCATTATTAGTATAGATTTAGTTTTCCACTAAAAAAAACCATTCAAATGATCACAGGGACAATTTTTGATTTAAAATTGAAGAAAAATGAAAAAATAAATGCAAGATGGTACATTATCAGTCTTGCGTTAGCAGTAAAAATAATAAAAACTGAAAAAAAATTACAATTATCTAGTATTTGTTACGTCTAATATCTGCTGTTTCTATCGGAATATTTCCCCGACAGTTTACTGATAGAATATCTGTCGCTGTATCTATCATCGTATTTCTCCTCTGTTTTATAGTTTATTTCAGGTGAGCCAATCGTTTTCTGCCAATGATGCGTCCAATAAAAATCTTCCGGATTTATATCTTTTGGTGATTTCACATCTTTACAAATAATAACGCAGTAAATAAGACTTCCAATCAATGTAAGGAATCCAAAAATAAGAAAGACAATCCCCAAGACCCTAAAATTGATTAATTCAAAAATTTGTTTTTTTTTAATATTTAATGAAACTCACCACACGTAAATGGGTTCGAAAAACTGAATCACAATAACGAATCCGAGAGTGATTAAGATGATTCCTAGATTTAAAAGAAGCATCAAGCAACACATTCCTTTGATATTGGGGCAAAATGGGTTGGGGGCGGCCATTGTTTCGACTTTGACGCCTCCTTTCCGGGAGGTGCGAGTCTTTACGGTGCTGGTCAGAGATGGGGCGCGGCCACTTTTGTAGGAATAGTGGCTGGGGGCTCGTGCTCGGGAGCTGCGACTGAAAAAATGCACATTTCACAAGTTTATTTTTAACTTTCTAACTTCTTCTTCCTGAAAAGTGTGTGAATAATGACGTATGGGTCCGTAAAACTACGTCTTTACAGACTATTTTGCTCACTTTGCGTACGATTTCAAAGAAAATACAAAATTTCTTTCGTGTTTTGGTTCTAATAGTTTTTGCTTTTATTTTTCAGAATTTGACATTTGGCAAATATTCAAATATGTACAGGGTGTCAGAATTCGTGCCCCAAAGAAAAATTTCAAGCAAGATAAGATACTCTAGAAACATGAAAAAAATGTTTAAAAAATTCTATTTGTCAAAAAATTTTGACATTGATTTTTTGACATTTGACGTTTTTTATGTCTATTTAATGATACTAATGATCTTGTAGGTATATGTTTTTTTATAATTATTTAGTAAATATTCTAATAAAAGCTACAAATAACATTAAACAGAGTTAGGTAGGTACTACTTAGGATACAACTTCCCTGATTTTTCTTTTAATAGTCTGTAGCAAAAAAAACCTGGAAAACAGAAATATAGAGTCAAAGTGCAAAATTTAAACTCTAAATTTCAGTTTTTTTTCCCATGTTTCTGGGGTCTTACCTTACATTTTTCTCTGGGGCGCGAGTTTTGGCGCACTCTGTATAAAATTTTTGCCGTTTATAACAATTATGTATAATGTTTTTTGTTCTATTTAAAAGTTACATTAATTTATTATTTATCAGTAATTTATTTAATAACAAAAAAAATTTTAACTGAGAAAGTCTTGGAAAGCGTTGGAAATAATACTTATTTTCTATTATGTTGTATTTCCTATAATTTTAGTGACAATAATACACACGTTTTTACTTCTTGACATTTACCTTCTGTTAAGTTATTAACAATAGTTAATAAGAATAGAAGCAGGAACAGAAGCACAATATAACTTTCCTTTTCAAAACTGGACAGTACCGTTTGATATTTATAAAAAAATTAGGCTACTCGAAAAGAAAAAAATATAAACTATTTTAATTTGTTATTAGTTTTCATACTCATTGTTGCCCCAAAAAAAACTACATTCAAATTCAAAAAAAAAGATCGTCAAACTTAAGATTGTTATAAAAATTAATTGAATTAAACTATTTTCAAGTTTTTATTATGGCATTTGTTTGCATTATTTTTTTTTTTTTATTTGTTAGGTATGTAATTTCTGATAAAAAAAGTGACTGCGTTAACAACTTTATATAATTCATCAAAAGTAAACCTAAAAAACTGAACTCTTCTGGGTACAGTTTTAATTTTTCTTTTCTGTGTTTTTGTTTCTTTGTTGTAAATATTGTCTTTGGATAAATACAGGGTTCGCCAGAACTCGCGCCCCAGAGAAAAATGTAAGGAAAGGTGTTCTATTTAATAGTTTTTAATTTATTACTTATTAGTAATTTATTTAATAACAACAAAAATTTTAAACTGAGAAAGTCTTGGAAAGCTTTGGAAATTATGCTTATTTTCTATTATGTTGTATTTCCTACAATTATTTTTTAGTGACAATAACACACATTTTTACTCCTTGACTTTTACCTTCTGTTAAGTTACTATCAAGAGTTAATAAGAATAGAAGCAGGAATTGGGTATAAAGCACAATATAACTTTCCTTTTCAAAACTGGACAGTACCGTTTGATATTTACAAAAAAATTAGGCTACTCGAAAAGAAAAAAAATATAAATTATTTTAATTTGTTATGAGTTTTTATACTCATTGTTGCCCCAAAAAAATACATTCAAATTCAGAAAAAAATGTTCTAGTCGAAAAAGATCGTTAAACTTAAGATTGTTATAAAAATTAATTGAATCAAACTATTTTCAATTTTTTACTATTCCATTACTATTCTATTTGTTTGCATCATTTTTTTATCTTATTTTTGTATTACGTATTTTCTGATAATAAAAGTGACTGCGTTATCATCTTTATAACTCATCAAAAGCAAAGATAAAAAACTGGACTTTTTTGGGTACAGGTTTAATTTTTCTTTTGTTTTTGTTTTGTTTTTGTTTTCTTATTGTTGGTTAAATGCAGGGTGTGCCAGAACTCGCGCCCCAAAGAAATATTTTAAGTGAAATAAGATACCAGGAACATAATAAAAATGTTTAAAAAATTCTATCTGTCAAAATATTTTGACATTTATTTTTTTACATTTGACATTTTTTATGTCTATTTAATGATACTGATGATCTTGTATATGTTTTTTTTTTATAATTATTTAGTAAAAGTACGAAAATTTGCGAATAACAGAGTTACAATTTAGGATACAATTTTCTTGTTTCCTCTTCTAATAGTAGCAAAAAAACTTGAAAAATTATTTTTCCAATAGAAATAGAGTCAAAGTGCAAAATTTAAATTTTGTTGACTTCGAAATTTTTATGGATAGAATTTTTTAACATTTCTGGCGCATCCTGTATACAAAAACAGAAAAAAAAGATATAATCACAGATAATTAAGTTTGCATGTTTTGTTTTGAATTTAACTTAACATTATATCATAATTTGACACATTTATTCTACAAGAACAACTTTTAATTATTACAAAACCAATTACATTTAACATTTTACACTTGTAACCATGTAAAGGCAGCATCGTTTCATTATCGGAACTTGTTATATTTGTAACTACCGTTAATTTTTAATTACTTTCCCATTCAGTAGTGAATTAATAAGAGGAAAGTAAAAGTTTACATAACTGAAGGAGGCAAAAACTCTTTTACAACTATAGAACGTAATTAAATATCTAATAATAAACTTGTATATTTTTTTTGTAGCATTTTTTATGTTAGTGTTTGTTTTTTTTTTCCTGAAAAAACGATCGTGTTACAAAAATAGTTTCACGAATTGTGCTAAATCAAATTATGGGAACAACTTTCCTTTTTGATTAATGACTCTAGATTACTCATCTTCTAAATTACTTAACGATAGCCTAACAAGGTATAGTGGGGTTTTCTCAATTGTGTTTAAAACCAGTGACACAGAAATAATGTCTCGTACAAGGGCACTCACGTTTATAACCTGCAGTTTCAATCCATTGAAACTTATTTATAAATAAGGACACGTGATCGCAGCACAGATGCATAAATACACAAACTCATGACATTAATAAGAGTAATTATATGTACGTGTCAGGTTTACAATCGTTGCTTTTAAAATTTATGAACCTTAAAGATATAAAACCAGATTTTATAGGAAAGTTTGGATTTAAGAGATCACGCACATAGAGTTGTTTGTATTTTATCTAAACGATATCTTTGTTTACCGTTATTGCTATGTGGACGTACAAAATGAAATTAAAATTAAGGATTTATTGAAGTTTTAGTAATTAATAATAATTGCCAAGGTCTGTTCATGGGATTTTTGTCTGTTTAATTTTTTGAAAATACACATATTTTATGGGAAAAATCTCTCAATTATGGGTTTCTAATTGTATTAATTTTATAGTTTTGTTTAGTAATATCGTTGGAATAATTAATGATAATTACATATGAAGGTAATAAAAAATACGGCAATTAATTTTGAATTCTTGGGAACGGTAGTTGTGTTTTCGAGTTTTAATGGAATTTTTTAACGCTTATTCCTTTATAAGTGGAATATTGTGACTTAAATTTTTTTTTTAATAATAAATGATAATAAACAAACGTTTTTTTTTATTACAACAGAATAGAAATAAACCGAAAAATCTGTTATTATAATTTATAGTTTGTCAAATATTTATTTTAAAAAAATATGTTTTTTATATTTTTGGTTTGTTGTATAAATAAGTGTAAAGGGCGTAAAAAGTGTAATAATTAAATAATTAAATTACTTTGTGACGTGGCAAATGGACGGGATTATGCAGCCCTGAAAAAAGGCCTTTTACACAGGAAATGTTACAAAATAGTTTTTGTGCCGTTTTTGAGGAAATTATTACAATATCGAGTCAGTTTAAGCCAAGTTTTAGTACGAATCACTTGTTCGAATAAATTATTACTTACTTGGTAATTTAGTGCAAAATTGTGTAGAAATGGGGGCTGTATTATCAGTGCGTGCGTGTTGGATATTTTCGGGTGCTTAATAGACATTTAGTAGTGCGCGATTTTTAACATTTCGAGTGATTAGTGAGTGCCAATGGGGGAAATAGAGAAGAAAATCGTGCTATAAGGGTCCGGATTAAAGGGTAAGTCAACAATACCTTTTTTTTTAATTTTCTAGAAAACTCACACTTTTTAAATTTTATTTAATAGTTTCAACTAATTTAATAACACATTAAACTAATTTTGTGTTTCTTTATTTTCAGTAAGTCCGTTTAAGAAGCAGAGGCCAATTGCTACAAAGAGTAGCTGAAGAAGATGCCATAAAGGTTAGTGCAATTTTTTTTTTAATTCATTGCTAAGTGAAGTGTGTGAATTTGTGATTTTTGAATGCAACAGTAAGTATTTATTAAATAATAAATAGAAATTGTGTTTTAAATGAAATGTATTATTTCTCAAACTCTTTTGATGATTTTTTTGTCTGTATTAACGGAATCTTTGAAAAATTGCCTGTAACAGCAAAAATAACAATGTTTGCAAATTATTTTGGTAATTTTTCGGCTTATTTTTGACGAAATTTGACAAAACAATTGCTTTTATGATTGAAAAGTGTGCTAAAACGTTGGAAAACGGTATAAAAAGTGTCATTTTTAATCAAATTAGGTGACTTTAGTACAAAAACTTGCTTAACACATGAAAAAGGCAAAAGTAATATAATTTTTGACTTAAATGTTGTTTGTGTTTTACGGTTTAGTTTAGGGAAATCTCATCTTACCTTTTGTTCAAAACGTACAAATAATATAATACCATTTAATAATTTTGCTTGATTTTGACAAAATTTTCTGAAATAAATCAAGTGAAAACAAAGAAAACATCGTCAAATTTGACTTAATTGGGTGATTTTTTTTTGATTATTTTTTATGAAATTTTGTAAAACGATTGCATTTATGATTGAAGAACTTTCCAACTTATCAAATTTGGTGATTTTTCGGACCGATTTTGTGAAATTTTACGATTTTTCAGTAGTCAGTTTCGTGTTTTGAGATGAAATTTTGTTTTGTTTTTGAGTTTTGCGATTTCTTCAAAATAACTACTCATACAATTTTTGTGAATTTTTTTTGTGAATGTGTGAGTTTGTAATTTTTGAGTGCAACAGTAAGTATTTATTGAATAATAAATAGAAATAGTGTTTTAAATTAAATGTATTATTTCTCAAACTCCTTTGATCATTTTTTTTGTCTGTATTAACGGAATCTTTGAAAAATTGTCTGTAAAAGCAAAAATAACAATGTTTGCTTATTTTTGACGAAATTTGACAAAATAATTACTTTTATGATTAAAAAGTGTGCTAAAACGTTGGAAAACGGCATAAAAGGTGTCATTTTTAATCAAATTAGGTGACTTGCCAAAATTTTCAAAAAAACTGAGTTTTTAGTACAAAAACTTGCTTAACGCATGAAAAAGGCAAAAGTATTATAATTTTTGGCCTAAATGTTGTGTTTTTCGGTTCAGTTTAAGGAAATCTCATCTTACCTTTTGTTCAAAACGTACAAATAATATAATACCATTTAATAATTTTGCTTGATTTTGACAGAATTTTCTGAAATAAATCAAGTGAAAACAGAGAACACATTGTCAAATTTGACTTAATTGGGAGACTTTCTTTGGATTATTTTTTAATGAAATTTTGTAAAATTATTGCATTTATGATTGAAGAACTTTACAACTTAGCAAATTTGGTAATTTTTCCGACCGATTTTGTAAAATTTTATGACTTTTTAGTAGTCAGTTTCGTGTTAGTTTTGCGATTTCTTCAAAATAACTACTCATACAGTATTTTTTTCGATAAAAATTGAATAAAACGTAAATAATTGTCACAGCTTTTGTAAAATAGGTTTTCCATTTGAAAAAATTAAAAATTTTGCAAAAAATTGAATAAAATTGAAATTGCAAATATTGCAAAGTGAAGTGTGTGAATTTGTGATTTTTGAGTGCAACAGTAAGTATTTATGAATAGGAATTAATTGTGTTTTAGATAAAATGTATTATTTTTCAAATTTTTTTTCAAAATTTGTAGATGATAGGTGCAAATTTACTTTGGCCTTTTTATGTATTACAGAAACATCGACTAAAAAAAACTAAGTATTGTACAAATTTAATATCCAGAATATATGATTAATTATTGTTTTGTGTCAGAAACTCCAATGACCAGTGAGTGCATGTTGTGTATTTTCGAGTGCTTAATAGACATTAATAGTGCGCAATTTTTTTATTTATTTGTGTAATGATCAGCTTAAAAACACTCGTCAATAGTAAGTACTTGAAATATAATACATATAAAAATGTATGTGTTTCAATAAAAAAAAACATAGAAACTAGTTGACATAATTTAAAAAATGCCTAATTTCATTGTAATTGAAAACTTGTGACGCCTCTGGAAACTTATAACGCGTCAACTTTATTTAGTAATTATTTACTTTTGGTTACATATTGTCGAAAAACATCCCAAAAAATTTTTTTGTTTGTTCTTACCTAATTTCTGAGGGGGCTTTATATGCGCCACTTGTGACATAAATATCCGATCCATTGTCATATCCACTGCCTCGACTCATGACAGAGGCTGCACGAGGAGGGTGATTGTTGACTCCATTGTGGTATTTACTGCGACCGTTTCGTTCATTTACTATGGTATATGGCTGAAATGAAAAGTTAATTACAAGTGATTTATATATTTATATATAATAACGATCAATTTACATAATTACTTTATTTGGTCACAAGGAATGGTTACACCTACGAGTACATTCTAAATATTCTGTTTTACTCAGAATAGTATTTAAGGAGGGCAAATAAACAAAGCGTTTTGTAGCATTTATGCATTTTAATTTCTTTATTTTTGTTACCCACGATCCAGTAATTTCGCACAATATAGAAAATTTTCTAGCATTCATAATTGTCATTTGATCTTTTCTAAAAATAAGACACTTCTCACGCTGCAGTAATAAATATATCAGAAGGAAAGTCAGTTATTTAGATGTATCTAACTTTGCTTTTAAAGATTCTCTAAATCAATTAGCAAATGTAGAGGACAAGTTAAAAGCATTTACTAAAGTGTTTGAAACGGTACATTGGAATAAATTTAATTCAAGGGAATTGATACCTACCACTGAAGTGTATTCAGAAAGAGTTCTTTCTGATGGTGCTCTTTGGCTTTCTTCTCCATCTGAATAAGCGGAACTTCTTGAAACGTGGACAGGAGTTGGTGATGTGCTGTGTCTGGGAGACGCAATGTAGTGGTTTTTATTGACCCGTTTTGCCATTTTGATATATGCAGAAAGGTCTGTGAAATAAGAATTTCAAAATTGAATTATTTAAAAAGATCGATTTGGAAAAAAAATGTTTATTTGGGTTTGAGAATTTTTCACGTTTTTCACTTTCATAATATGACAGACTCTAGTTCCTTAAATGGATGATGGTCTATTCTTACATTCCAACTAGTGTTAGGAAAACTGTAAATATTTACGTAATAAGATAAATATGGAGGAAGGTCGGATGTGGTATTGAGATTTCGTCACAAGTTAATAATTCATGAAATTTTCAGCAAGCTTTTAAAATTTATGTTGACTTTTGTTCTACTCTTTTGAAATTTTTTGGAAATTAAACTGGTATACATTTTTTTATTTTGATAATTGGTGATTTTTGGGCATATTTTAATGAAATTTTGCGAAAAACGTACTCAAATGGGCGAAAAAGGCAAACATGATGCTGTTGTAGACTAAATTTGGCGATTTTTGGGTTGTTTTAGCAAAATCTATCGACAAGTTGAGTTTTAAAATAAAAATTTTTGACTTAATTGTGGTTTTTAGTTCAAAAACGCAGCAAACGCTTGAAAATTTGAGACTTATTTTTGCGAAATAATTGAGTTTTTGGCTCAAAAACATTAAATTGCTTGGAACAAGTCAAAATGCCAAACTCTTAATAATGTTTTGTTTGTATTGCCTGAAAAAAGCAAAAATAATAATGTTTGAGACCTATTTTGGTGATTTTTCGGCTTATTTTTGGCGAAATTTTGCGAAATAATTGTTTATTATTAAAAAGTGTGCTAAAAAGTTTATTTTTTAATCAAATTAGGTGATATTTTGGTTTAAAATTTTACAAAAAAAAACTGAGTTGTTAGTACTAAAAGTGCTTACGGCATGAAAAAGTTAAAAATAATATCATTTTTGCCCTAAATTTTGTGTTTATTGGTTCAGTTTAGTTCAGTTCAGTTTACCTTTCATTGAAAATGTACAAATAATATTATTTTTAATTTAATTTGATGATTTTGCTTGTTTTTGAGGAAATTTTCTGAAATAAATCAAGTKAAACAGACCAAAACAACGTCAAATTCGACCTAATTTGGTCATATTTTTGGCTTATTTTTTTAGTGAAACATTGCGTGATTGAAAAACTTACCAAAACGCCTGAAAACGACAGAAATAAATTTGGTGATTTTTATTATTGTTTTTATACGAAATAATTGCGTTTGTGATTAAAAAGTGTACTAAAATATTGGAAAACGGCACAAAAAGTGTCGATTTGGTGACTTTTTGGTTCGACTTGGGAAAATTTAACAAAAAACTGAGTTTGTAACTCAAAAAGGGCAAAAGTAATATAATCTTATCTCACCTTTCGTTGAAAAAAGTTTAAATAATACCATTCTTGATTTAATTTGATGATTTTGTTTATTTTTGACGAAATTTTCTGAAGTAAATTAATTGAAACAGATCAAAATAACGTCAAATTCGACCTAATTTGTTGTTTTTTTGGCTTATTTTTTTAATGAAATTATTGCGTCTATGATTGAAAATCTTCCCAAAACGCCCAAAAACGGCAAAAATAAATTTTTCACCAAATTTGGTGATTTTTCGGCTAGATTTTGTGAAATTATGAGTTTTTATTAGTCATTTTCATTTGCTTTTAAAAAGTAATAATTACATAATTAAAATTGTGTAGTTTTTTAAGAATGAAATTTTGTTTTGTTTTTGAGTTTGGCGATTTTTTCAAAATGACAACTTATTTGATTATTTTGATAAAAATAGAATAAAACGTAGATAGTTGTAATCTTTAGGTCATAACCTTTGTAAAAAAGGCTTTATTTTGGGTTGCCATTTGAAAAAATTAAAAATTTTGCAGAACTTTCAACAGAATTTTGAAAAATTTTATTTTATACCATTCATAAATTAGTTTTTCAAAAAATTAGTAGTTCAAGCAAAAAACTTGTGTTTTCATTTTTTATATTAACAATTTTATTTCATTTTAAGATTCGAGTTAAAATGAAAATTGTCACAATTAAAAAAAAAACTGCAATGCAAAGCAAAATACAAAAATTAGTATTGTTTCTTTTTAACATTTATTTATAGTAACATAAATCATTTAAGTCAATAGTTTTTGTAGCGTAATATGTACCAATTTTTGTAATATTGCAATTAATTTTATTGAAATGTGTATTTCCGTGTTGGTACTGTTTTTAGTTTGTTAGCAACAAGAAAGCTATTTTCAAAACAGTTTTTACATATTATGATATTTTTGCAAGATTTGTGCCAAATTTTAGTTTGATTTTTAATAATTACAAAAAAAACTTTCGTGAAATGTTTACCTATGTCAATTTTTAGGCATGAAATGACAAATTTTAAGAAAAAGTAGCTTTGGGTTTTATTTATATATTTATTTTTTACATTTAACGAAATTTAAAGCACCAAAGAACTATTTATCAGTAATTTAGGATTTTAATTTTTGGGCTAATTAGTTCGCTCTTGAAAAAATTAAGATACAAATTAACTTTTCAGTAAATTTAAAACTGTTAGGTCATATCGTAGGTTTATTATTTACTTTTACTACCTGCATGACCTACCACATATATTAGGTTCAGCTATAATACCCACACAATAAAAAATTTTTACTTTCTCCTTTAACACATTACCGTTACAATCAAATTTGTTATGCATAATGTGACTCAATTTTACTTCTATTAATTATAACTGCAGTCGTATTACATTACAAATTACTTTCATAATGATAAATCCAGTTGCATGACCTTTAAAAATGTCTCTTTTGTTATATAACTCCCAAATATTTTCACCAAAGGAGTTATTTTAATCAGTTATGACCTATAACAATTATTAAATATACTTTCACGTATTTATCAGGCTTCAAGGTTTTAAAACACCCAAAATCAGCATCTGGTACAGAAACTAACGATATTGTTTGTCATTTTTGGCTAACATAATTACACAATGATGAATTATATAAAACTTATTTGAATTTAAAATGACTTCCTGTTCAACTTGTGCCTGAAATATTTTTTTTTATTTACTTGTGTTTTGACACAGATGGTCAGGAATGAGTCACTTTCTTCCTTCATTAGTACTGTTATTGATTTAGGACACTTGTTGAAGGATTATCCTTGTGCTTCCATAAAACGTTTTGTTGGAATTTTTTCCTTCTAAATTCCGGTAAAAATTGTCATGAGATGCAGGCAGCATCACCAAGTGATGCGCAGATTAAATTAATTTAAAGTTAATTACCTTTTGGTCACTGGGATAATCCTGGATGGTTTGTTATCCTGATAAGGGCCATGTTTGTGATAGGAATCACTGTCACTTAAACCTCACTCTAAAAAAGTCGATGCACAACAAGAACACCTTTTACGTGTCTCTGACAAAGTAAACTTGGATGGCGTTTCTGAGGTTAAACACTAGTTCGTGTGGGGAAAGCGGTATATTACGTCATTTTGAAGGCTGTCAAGTGAATCTTGCTAGAAGAAGCTTTACTCAGAACTCTATTGTTTTATTCCAAGATGTTGTTCTTGTAATAAGAGTCGATTTGTGAAAAAAAAATTCTAGTGCACTTTTTATGGTGCAATCAGATTACTTTGTTCCACTTACAATGAGGAGAATTTAACGCTGCGTTACGACAGAAGCACTTTCAGCAAAATGTTCAAGTTTTACCTAATATTCAGTTAAAATCTGAAAAATTAACCGGATTTTATTGATTTTACTTCAATTCAAAATCATTTAATAATGGAAAACACACCAACTGAGGAATTAGATTCTCTGAATGAGCTTTTCTTATGCAACAAACAATACGCCCAGATACAAGTAGGAAAAAAAAACATATAAATATGTCCTGAATTGCAGTTTTTTTTTTACATTTATTTAAAAATAATAATTACCGTTTGTAATAAATGTAATTAGGTCTTATTTAAATCTGAATAATAAATGGCAGTTAATAAAACAATGCCCTGGAGAGCAAATGAACAAGCTAGGTGAAATAAAACACTATATTTAAAATTTTTATAAAGCAACTTCCGCTAACTGTTCTAAGTTCATTGCGTCCCAGTTTATATCAAACGGTTAGTTCTTACAAAGTTCACGTCGTAATTTTTCCAGAATAATCTTGATTTTCCAGAAGGTTTTTTTTTCATTTCTAAACGAGGATGTAAATCGTTAGTCCATTATCAGCCTCTAGAGTGGATTTAACTGTGCACTTATCTTTATGTATTACTAAGAAAGTATTTTTTTTCATTTGGAAAAACAAAAATTGCTTTTAAACTGTTTTGAAATTATTAGAATTTTTTTTTTGAATTCAGTGCCATAGACAAAAATGTTTAGCGTTTTTAAAATTATTTTAGGTTTTGCTTTTTGTAGCCAAAATTTTGAAAACACGTTTTGTTGGCTTATAACAACTTTGATTTTTGTCTTAGAAAAATATTTAAAATGTCTACTAAGTATTTTAATAAAGCGGGAAAAACTTTTTGTAGCACATTTTGATAACGAGAAACTTGAAGAATTTTAATTAACATATTCCGAGAGGCTGTTAACTCTAGAATTAATTGAATTAGTTGTTGCTTGGAATTATTTAGAATTGTTAAAATCATTTTTGGATTGTTTGGAATTACTGGAATTTTTTTGGAATCAATTTCGAATTTCAAGAATTGTTTTGGAATTACGAAAATTAATTTGGAATTATAGGAATTAATCAGAAAACAATGGAATTACAATGACTTATTAAAGTTTTCGAATTTTTTGGAATTACTGGAATTTTAAAGGATTTGAATTGAAATTAGTTGTACATTTTTTTTAAATTAATGGCTCCTCGAAATATTCAGAATGATATTAATTACTACATTTTCAGTTTTATAAAAAGAATACTTAAAAATGGAATTATTTGGAATTGTTAAAATTATTTTTGGATTGTTTGGAATTACTGGAATTTTTATCGGAATCAATTTGAAATTTCAAGAATTGTTTTCGAATTACAAAAATTAAGTTGGAATTATAGGAATTAATCTGAAAACAATGGAATTACGATAACTTATTGAAATTACTGTATTTTTTGGAATTACTGGAATTTTTGGGGATTTTTTTTAGAATTGGAATTAATTGTACAATTTTTTTAAGTTAATGGCTTCTCGAAATATTCAGAATGATTTTAATTAAAAAAAATTCAGTTTTATGAAAAGAATACTTAAAAAGGGAATTATTTGGAATTGTTAAAATTATTTTTGGATTGTTTGGTATTACTGGAATTTTTATCGGAATCAATTTGGAATTTCAAGAATTGTTTTAGAATTACAAAAATTAAGTTGGAATTATAAGAATTAATCTAAAAACAAGACTTATTAAAATTTATGTTTTTTTTTTTTGAAATTACTGAAATTTTAGTGTTTTTTTTTAGAATTGGAATTAGTTGTACAATTTTTTTTAAGTTAACAATGCCCTCTCGAAATATTCAGAATGATAAAAATTAAAAATTTTCAGTTTTTTTGTTAAAATTATTTTTGGATTGTTTAGCATAACTGGAATTTTTATCGGAATCAATTTAGGATTTCAAGAATTGTTTTGGAATTACGAGAATTAAGTTGGAATTATAGAAATTAATCTGAAAAGAATAGAATTACGATGACTTATTGAAATTTCTGTATTTTTTTGAAATTACTGGAATTTTTAGGATTTTTTTTAGAATTGGAATTAGTTGTACAATTTTTTTAAGTTAATAATGGCCCCTCGAAATATTCAGAATAATAAAAATATTTAGTTTTATAAAAAGAACACTTAAAAATGAAGTTATTTGGAATTGTGTAAATTATTTTTGGATTTGGAAACGATGAGATAAATTAAAAATATTTCAATAAACAATAATTTGTAATGTTTTATTTTCTGGCCGTGTTTGGGTCATAATAAAAGAAAAAGAAATTCAAAAAAGTCAAGAAGGTATCATTTTTCTGTTCTATTTTCATGTTTTGAATTTTTTTCCACTGTCAATCCAAAAAATAGAATAGAATTTAAACTCGAACAAATCAAGTATTTTATTAAAAAACTATAGTCACAAAAGCACAACAATGTAACAACTTTTTATAAAGTAATTTTACAAGATTTACATATTTTATTATCCAGCACTACAGCTCTCTGAAATAATATTGAAACTGCACATATACCTGAATATTTTGTTACTATTAAAACAATGAAGCAATTTAACACCCAATTATGCTATAAAAATATTGGCTTACTACAATTTTATTGTTACATTAGGTTTTATTAATTTTTGACACAAAAACGTACATTTTTTACTCAAAGATTCCTAGTTTTCTGAAGCACTTAAAATATAGGAAATTGGTAGTTAGTAAACTCAAACACCTGTAAATGAATTTTATTTATAAATATAAATCATCAAGTAATTACATCAGAAGTTGTTGCGTTTTGTTCGAGAACTTGGAAATATCTCTATTCAATCTTACTTGTCTCTTAAAATCTACATCGATTCTTAAATTATCATTAGACATAATTAGGTTAAAATAAAAGTTTGCTCGCTAATTAGTTAATTGTTGATTGTACTGAGCGTATCAAAGAATAGAACAGAGTTGCATAAATAACAATTTTGTCTTTTGTTAAGAATTAAAACCAACAAAACTTTAAAAAACGTATCACATTACTACTTCTACATCATCAGACTACCGAAACAATTATGATATGTTTGCGACAGCGTAACGTCTTGGACAGATGTAAAGGCAGATCTTAGATTGTAATTTCTACACCATCCATGTCAAAAACGAAACATAAACACATTATTTTTACACTTGTACTAATTTCCTTCAGCCGACATTCTCTGAAATTCAGCTACCATCTCACTTATACAACTATAGCTCCCAGCGAGCAGTCCAACAACACCAACAAGAATGAGAAGAACATCTTTGATCAGAACCCAGCGAAATGGACCCAGATTGTCGGGCCAATGCACGCAAATTTCCATAATTGCCGGGAACGCGAAACCCAACGCCGACAAGCAGAACGCCCCGAAGAGGGAGATGAAGAGGCCCAGCATGGGGATGGTCAACGCAAGCACAACTGAAAGCAGAAAAATTAATATTTTTATAAATTATTTAAATTTTGAGAATTTTGAATTTAACTAGTGCAGTTGGTAGTACAATGTACAATCAGCCTAGAAAAGATTGTCCTCCTAATAAACCACAATTACGTTGTAAACGTCATTTTTTATTTAAAAGCTCAGTTACCGATTTTATTTTCAATTGAGTAAACAACATATTATTTTGAAAAATTCACAACTTTATACCGCAACTAAAAATTAAATTAAAAAATAATTTTAATTAATGTTTAATTAGTTATTTATTTACTAAGATAGCAAGTATATGCCGTTTTAAATGGTATAATTAAATAAACAATATTATTATTAGTAATACGTAAAACAAAACAAAAATTCATAAATGCTGATCTTCCAAACAATTTTACTCAGTTATTTTTGAAGTAATCGATCCTGGTTTTTGCAGGATAATTTAAAAGAATATTCTATATGCCAATACGTTGGCATTTTTTTGAAAAAGTGTTTTGTCTTTAAGATATTGTGTTTGATGTAAGTCACGTTATTTAATGGTTGTCCTAAAGATTCGTTCTAGTGTTCTAATATTTATTACAAAATATTTTTTTAAAACGAAAATATTTTTAAATATAAGAAATAAATATATTAATAAAAGCAAACGCTACTTTTTCTTAAAATTTGACCTTTCAGTGTTATCTATTGTCATTTTATGCCTAAAA